GCAACATCTAATGACCTAAACCTTTTCCACAGTGCATCAATTGCACTTATCATGTCTACCTCTGCTCCATCCTCTGTGTCTACCTCTTGTTCACCTTCCATACTGAGTTTCCTCCAATGGATATGAATAACATCAATTGGTATTGGTTCACCACTCCATGCGTATCTCCCTAACTCACAAGCACAAGGTAACCCGTATACTTTTCTATGAGTACACCCACACATTTTGGTGTTTGTACCCACCATGTCAACCATATGCCACTCTTCAACAATGTATCTCAAAGCAGCTCTAGATACTGATCCACGCAAATTCCCATAATATGCACTAGTGCGCACATGCTCAACCTCATAAAAACTCTTCTGAAATAAAGCTCTAATATTGCTTAATTGCACCTTGATGTTATCATTCATAGCCTCTCAACATTTGCACATATCACCTAAAATGTTCTCCAACATCTGCTTCAATTTCCATTGCGCAGACTCAACCCTAACAAAAAAACAAGTTTAGTATTATTAATATTAACATGAACAAACTATGGCTAAAAAGCAAACACATTACCTGTTAGTCATGGTGTTGCCCAAATGCAAGACTTTATTGATCCAAGCTTCAACCAATCTATGTCTGTGAGGCGCCAACCATGTGACTTTCACATAATCAAAAAAAGGTCCAAAATCAACACATGCATGCTCAAGTTGTTGCAAATTTTGATTGTACTCCACCTTATCATTAGCCATTACAAGTTCATATCATAGCTTCTCTATTGGCTCTCGCATATCATTCACAACATACTCCTTACACTTTGCTTTCACATTTTTGTTTATTTGAAATCGACAAAGCAAATTAACTGTCGTTGGAAATATTTTTTCAATTGCTTTCATCAAAGCAAGATCTCTATCTGTTAAAATCACTTATGGCCATAACCCTTGCTTAGTGAGCAACTGTTTCAACTTTTTTAATACCCAACACAAAGTCTCTGTTTGTTCAGATTCCATATAGACAAATGCAACAACAAATGTTAACTCAGTTGATGTCATACCAACTACTTCAAGCAAAGGTTGTCTGTACTTATTTGTTTTGTAAGCACTACCAACACAATAGGAACATATTTAACAACTTCAATGATTCTGGACGCGCCCAAAAGATATCTCTCACAACTTCAGACTCATCTTTTTTCTTACTCCAATAAACATAATCAGAATCCTCTATCAACTTAAACAACTGTTGCATTTTCGTTCTAGGACCCCTGATGTCTTTCTGAATCTTACTCTTATGTTTATATATTTAAGTTATTCGAGTCACATTCTCCGGATCTCATTCTTGCAATGACAACAATATGTGTCTTGGTGGAACATGACGTTTTGAGAAATCAGCAATATGTTGTTGGTCATCAGCATTAAGTCGACTTACAAACGCATGACCTTCAAATCTATCAGGTAAACCATGGTTTTGAAGTCCACATTTTACGTCAATATTCCAACCAAAACCATCTTTAGAAGGTGTTGACCTAACTTTGAATGGAGAACCACATTTTTTAGTAGCGCTTTGTGTTTCACTCTTTCCTTCTTTGTATTTTCCACCTCTATCGCAACCAAATATAACTTTGTCACTTTTTCCTCTCTTACCAGTTTTGATGTCCGAACGAGTTATTACAACAATGACTCTATTTCTGATTTCAACCTCCCTAATCCACCTAGTCGCCTCTTCTCGTGTAGCAAATTTTTCTGTAATCGAGAATATTTCCGTCGTATCTACAAATGTCTGGTTTTTATCGCATATCATCAAAGGAATGTCCATGTCTCCTAACATAAGTAACAAAAATTAATTTAAAAAAAACACGTTCTGAAACTCTTATGGGTAAGTTATCCGGTTTTGAATAATACTAAATCGGAACACTTCAACACAAGTTTTTAGAAACTATAAAAAATTCAAACCGAACCACTTATGACAATGTTATCCGGAGCTTTCTTGTCATTCAAAATCAAACCGGATAACTAGTATACAAGTTATTCAGTTTAGCAAAAAACCACTCCGGATGTATGAACATCAAGTTTTCCGGTTTGATAATGATACGAACTAGATTTCTTTACCCTTAATTATTCAGTTCTCGTCGTGTACTTTTAAATATTAGCAAAATTATATAAGTATGAATATAATTGTGAGGGTATGGGATACAATTTTTTAAAAATTAAATCAAATCAAAACAAATCAAATCAATGAAAAAATTATTTATTCAAATATTTTTTTTTTACTAAAAATTGGTTCAAACCAAACCAATTATATCCCTAGATACAACATCACATACTCTTCAACATAATAGATTGAGAAAAAAGAGTGAATATAACCCTACTTGCACCATTAGTCTCTTGTATCCTCTTTCACGAGCCACATTGATTCCTACCAACACTGCAAAGCTCAACCACAACACTGCAAAGCTCAACCACAACACCGCTACATTTTCCTATGTTCTTTGCGTAACCTCTAGCCAATTTTTTTTCTTCACAAAATTGATTATAAAACGGGTTGTTACCATAACTAGTTTTATAACCAATTATAGATTTTGTAATCAATTTTGGAAAGAAAAATATATATATTTTCAAAAACATATTTAAATTTTCAAATTTTGTTTTAAATCACATTCATATTTTATGTAACTAAGAGTCTTATTTTAATTTTTAAAAAAGGATTTTTTTTTCTTTATTTTTTAAAAATAAATTTTGTAAAACCGTTTTTTAAAATATTATAAATTTTTCTATATTAATTTTTTTTTAATTACAAGACTAATTTTGACATCATACAACTTAAAAATATATTATTGAAGACCAAAACATAGTCGAAATTTTAATTTTTGAAAAAAATTGTATCTCAAAAATGATTTTTATGAAAAACTATTTGAAATAGTTTCAAAATTAAGTAATTTTTTAAAATTTTGATATCCAAAAATATTTTCAATAAAATGTTATATATCTAAAATAATATTTTAAAAATAACTATTCAAATCAAATTTTCATTTGAAGTTTTTATGAAAAGTTTCTTTGTAAATTTGTTTTCCACAAAATTCTTTTACATAATAAAAGTCATTTTAAAAAAAAGTCAAAACAAACGGGCCCTAAATTTAGTCATAAAATCTATTTAATATTTTTTTTCCAAACGGTCTCGTTTATTGGAGAGTGATTTCTTATTAAGAGGAGTCAGGGTGATAGTCTGTCTATTGGAGAGGGTTTTTTCAAACTGCTTGTGTGTTTAAACATGTTTTACATGAAGAATTGTAATGCAATGAAAAGAGAAACTAGTTGATGATACCTTGTTTTTGCAGGATGTGGGAGCTTGAGATTTGTGAATTACAAGACCGGACACTAGTTATGCAGTAGGTGCAATGAGTAGATTCATGAGCAATTCAAAGACATCTAATCAAATAGCACCAAAGAGAATTCTAACTAAAATATCTAGAGGTATTAGGCAGTGTGGCCTATTGTTCCCAGCAAGCAAGGACAATAAGTAGATGGAATTTGAAGCAAAACATAGTTGCAATGTCTAGTTGTGAAGTAGATTACGTAGAATATGTGGCTGAAGCACAGGCTACTTGTCAAATAGTTCGGCTAGAACCCCTATTGGGAGAATTGAAGATCAAACAAACAAGGCGAATGCAATTGAAGGTTGATAATAAATCTGCCATAAGCTTGACAAAAAACCCCATTACAAATTAGATAAGCAAACACATAGAGACCAAATTTCATTTTGTTATTGTTAGGGATCAAGTAAGCAACGAGAAGTTAGAATTGAAGTATTACAAGGTATCAATCCAAGTTGTAGACATCTTTATCAAACCATTATTAAAGACATCATTTCAAGGAGCTAAGGAGAATGTTAGGTCTTGTGCAATTGGAATCCTTGATTGAATGGGAGTGGTGTGAACACAATCTAATTATTTGATCATGTTATGTAGTAGCTTATGTGCAGTTTGATCAATTAGTTGCAGTAGATTAGCAGTAAATCAATTAGCAACCAAATGTACAATGATAGTTAGTTGTTAGGATCTAACTACCATGTTGGTTAGTTAGTTAATCAAGCTCATGCATAAATATAGAAAGCATTCAATAAAATCAATAGCTCATTGATATATACTCTCTAATTTCTAACAAATTTATGTATATACATAACAAGCCCTTGAAAAGATAGGAAAGTCATGAAACTGGTACTGCATGTTTTCATCAGCATTTAAGTAAACACAACCTGTTCTCTCAGCTTCATTCAAACCTCAAAACAAGTCAAACACCGTGCAAAATTGTTCATTCATGATTACCTTATGACCCGGGTGCCTGTAGGGGTAGCAAACAGGCATACCCACCCCGCAAAAGCCCGCAAAACACGAGGCAGACATATTTGAGGGTGCGGACCTAACACCTATTCCCACCCTACATAAAAACGAGGGCAGGGCGGGCTCGCGGGCATTGAACCTTTTAGACCTAAAAATTACAAAATTGTATGTAAAAGCTCCTGCCCGCAAACGCCTGCGAAAAATAGGGCGGAGCGAGGCGGGCACATCGAAGGATGCAGGCCTAAAACCTTGAACCGCCCCACAAAAAAGAGCAGGCAAAACGGGTATGCCCGATGGGCCGGGCCAGTTTTGCCACCCCTAGGTGCCTGTTAAGTTACTATAACCAACAGAGAGAGAAATTAGTAGTGTACCATACATACCAGGAAACGCTTCTTATCTCCTTAATATTTGGTGTGATGCAATTAAAGATCGAGGTTCATCGTATGTCCCTGGGATACCACTAATAAGTATTGGAGTGATTAAATTAATATCATAACAAAGTATATGATTAAATCCAGACAAATGATTCACTAGCAAGGTTAACACATGAATCTATATTAAACATGGGGAGAGTAACCTTTGATGGGAAAAAACTTGAGAATCAGTGCTCAACAGAGTGCTAAATATATAAATAAGTGCAACATGATATCTATGGTGATCCTCTTCTTAAAATTGACACCATTGTTCACCGAGAACTGCTTGTTTTCTGCTTGGCCTTCTCAATGAGGGGCTTCAACTGCTTCTTCTCAGCCAGAATCTTTAGAAAGTTAAACAAAAAGGGTATGTAATTGTGTTTCCTACGGATGTTTTCTGTCCTCCATTTTTTGAATTTTTCTTCCTCCATTAAGATCTTCTCAGTAGCAGCTTCAATCCCAGCATTCACTTCAGAGAGAGAATTGTTCAATACTTCGAAACTGCTATTGTCCACCAGTCGCTCTGACTTTGATGCAGCCAGCTGCTGCAAAATCCGCTCCCTTCTCTTCTGAAGTTCCTTCAGCTCGGAAGTATACACTTCTTTCCTGTTCTTGACGATTGCTAGGAGGTTAAACCTTATCTCATTTTGAGAATACCTTTCAATTCGTTCCTGAATCACAGGTTGCACCAATTTAAGCCATTCCATATCACCTTGCCCACCAGCACACTGACCAAGGCTGATAGGACCCTCCTTCAATCCATCAAGCTCATAAAGTACTCCATCAACAGGTAGATAGCTTATAAAGTGGTAAACATCATCATCTTTACCAGCAGCCTTTTGCTCGTCAGGGACAAAAGGTTCTGGCCTCGCAAAGCTATTATGGGCTGTACGTATGGCCTCACTATTATTGATGGCCAAACCTTTGAGTTCAGGAGGAAAGTTCTTGGTAAATTCTTTCAGTTTTGTTAACTCTGGACCGATATCAATATCAGGTGAATTAATAAGAATAGACAAGATTGCCTGGGTTGCACAAGCATTATTAATTACCTACAAATGAATCCATAAGATTAGTTAGACCACAAAAGTACACAGCAATAATGATTTTGGTGTTTAAGTTTTAAAAGAAAAATAACCTGGCTAGCAAAAAATAAGTTGGGGTTGGGATCTTTGATTACAGCACGTTCATCCTTTTCTCCTGGACGCCATTTGAAAAGAAAAACCAACCCATAAACAGGCCTGTAATTGAGTACGAAACCCCCATAGATAGAGAGAGCAGACAAATGTTCACTTATTAAATATAACAATTAATAACCATCATTAAAGTTCAAGACAGACTGAGAAGTACACTGACCTAAGGCTATTGAGAGAGTCGTCATCCAGTGAATACAGTTCCTCAACCTGCCAAGATACATTTAGCATGAGTAGCATATAAATTTAGTTCTAACTGGAAAAACTAAATTCACAGAACCCTGGTTTTTACAGAGGCACTTTTGATGACAAATTGAAATATTTTGTAGGTCATTAGTTAAATTGAAAAGTAAAAATAAATGTCAGTAGAACAGTTCAAATCAATAATTTTCTGATAGTTTTCAGATTTCGTCATGACAGTACTAGATTGGATTCAATGAGCTGTATTCTGAATCAGCAAGAAATAGCAATCAACAATGGGCTTAACCCGTGCCCAAAAACTGCCATGCACAAGATTTTCTGAAAGCTGGAGGGAATGTAGACGGAAACGAATGCCATATCCATATTTTAGGACTCGTTTATAGCAACAAAATATGAATGCAATTTTGTTTCTTATGGTCTCTTTTATTTACGAAAGTGTCACCTTTCATTTCCTATTTATGTACATTTATAACAAAACAAAGAAAACAACTTCCTATTGTTTTAACTATTTCTTATGCAATTCTTCTTTCAAAATAAAAAATAAACCGAAATGTTTCCTGAAATAAATCAAACAGATCCTTAATTTTCATTTTCTATCTATGGTTCATGCTCGAAGGGGAGCTTTGGCAAAAGATAATAGTTGAACCAAGTGAGGAAGAGACTGCAATGGCGGTTTCAGGCTGCAATTAGCAGATGCTACAACCGTTATTCTTAACAACTGCTCGCAGACCAATAGCATCACACCAAACGCTGCCATTGCTACGCTATTCTGCTATGGTGTACTATTGACAATATAGATTCTTTCAAAACAAAAAAATAAACTGAAAACATCATCTGAAATAAATCAGCTTTGGCACAACAATAACAATAATAGTTCCAACCCTTCCTCTAGTAGCTTAATGGGTTTAGGGCATACCAAGCAAATTTAATATCCTAAAGAGGAAACAAAAATAGAACACTCCACCACAGACAAGCTAAAAACTATGATGAAAAATAAAATAAAATAAATGTCAAATATCCAGCAAATTACCTGTACTCCTTTCACTTGCATTTGCTGAATAAGTTCTGTAAATACACCTAGGGAAGAAAAAGAAAAAAACACCAACTTTAAATCAATGTACCAATCAAAATCAACATGAAACAAAAACCCTAAAAACCCTATGCACAATTTCAAACCAATATTCAATTCAAAAAATAAAAAAAAATAAAAAATCAATCATTAGGTATACCGGGGTCGGATTCAATAGTACACCAAGACATGATTCAAGTTTGTACAAAGCAAGCTGCAAAAAAAGGAAGAACACAAACTTTAAGCAATTATTTGTTTAAACTTTAAGCTAAAATAGTTAAAAAAAAAAAAAAAAAAAAAAAAAAGCCGTTCCTAATTTTCTCATCAGAAACCAGAAATATTGCAGTGGTGGAAGCACGAAAACGACGATGAAATTGAATCTAGTTCGCAATGAAAATAAGAAAGAGTATATACCTTTAGAGTTTTATCGTCGTCTGGTATATCTGTGTGACTCTGTGTTGTTAAGGTCGGGTTGCTTCTGCACTCTCACTGCAGGTGTATTCTATACTTTATACACCATCATCCATTATTCAATAACTTTTTTTTTTAATTACAAGATTTAATTTAAATGCAGTTTTAAAATTTATTTTTTCTCTTTAATTTAAAAATTAAATATTTGATCTATCTATTTTAATATTTTTAGGATTTTAGTCTCCGCCCCTTTTTAGAACATTTTTTTTATTTTGATAATAATATAAATTTTTATATTTATAAAAATTAAAAAAGTACGAACTATATTTATTTTTATTTTATTTTTTAATTAAATTATAAAATCTTATATTTAAATTAAAAAAGAAAAATGACTCGCATCCATTTTTTTAAAATAAAGGCATGGCATAATTAATCTTTAGGACTCTTAATTTTGAGCGAAATTTCGTTTTAGTCTCCAAACTAAAAAATTTTACATAATAATCCATTAACTTCACTTTCCTTAAACCATTTGTGGGTTTCTCTATGTTCTTTCATATTTATTTATCCATATTTTCTCCATCTTTCATTTTAAATTTAGGAAAAAATGAATCAAAATGCATAGAAACTGTGAAAAACTAAACTTGAAGGAACATGAATTTTCATCAAAATCCAAATCTATTTTTCATCCTCTCTACCTAAAATCCTAAAATAAATAGTTCTCAACTCGTAACAATTTATATCTCCAATTTTCCATCCCAAAAATCTAAAGAACAAAAATCTCAACCCATTTTTCATTTCAATCTATTGCATTTGTAAAAATAATTCTCAATTTGTAGCAATTTCTAATTGAATTAAAAAATTTCAACTATAAAATTAAACAAAGTGGATGAAGTTGAGTGATGAAATCAAGGAGGTGAGTGTTTTGGAGAAGGCTATGTTTGGTGGGAGGGAAGAGAATAAGAATTTTAAAGAAGAGAATATATGTGTTTTGTCGATCTGGATATCATAATAAATTTAATTGTGTTTTACATTTTAATTTTTGATATAATAAATCAACTTCAATTTAGAATAGTATATATGAGAATAACCAAACAATAAATTAGAAAATAAATCAAATTTATTGCTTTATTTTATTACAAAATTTGAAAAACAAATCATGGGCTTTGGTTATACCTAATTAATTGGAAACACAATTAAATTAATTTTAATAAAACATTCATGATAATTTAGTTTAATTTAGTTTAGTTTATTTTTAAATTTTTTAATTTAATATTTTATATATCATTTAAATAAAAAAATATTATAAAAGACGTAAAAATTATTATATGTAATATTTTAGTCAATAAAAAAAATATTTCAACTCAGTTATTAAAAGTCCAGCAAAACAAGTTTTAATGTTTTTTCAACAAAAATTATCAGAAAGGATTAAAATAGATAACATAGTATAAGTTAATGGACCATTATATAAGGGTTTTTTTTTAGATATCAAATAGAAACATTCACTGAAGTTAAGAGACCAAAAAAGATATTAAACTTAAAATAAATAAATAATTGTCATCAAATAATTAAACATTTAGAAATTTATATAAACTCAGTCATTATCACCAACTCTTTGTTCTTTTCAATCAAATCTTATCGGAAAAGTAAAATCTTCAATCCAAAAACCCATCAAAACCCATCATCATTTATTATTTATTTCATTAAATAATTTTATAAAATAATAAAAAACTTAAAATTGTTTTCAATATTTTAAAATTCAAAAATCACATTTCTCTAAATGTGTTGATAAAATTTTCGTCATTAATCAAAATTTAAAATACCCATGACCGCATTCATATGGTAATACATAACCACTAAGCTATTTGTGTTTCTTATTTCATATTTGCAATGCATATGTATATATTACAAAATGAGAAGGAGGATTAAATCCAAAAATGAAATAATTTTACAATTTGAATTTCTTCTTCTTCCTTTTCTCTAATATATGAAAATCGATGTTCAACTGAGAGAGATCATGCACTTGCAGCCCAATTGTTCTTAAACCAACTTGACACATGAGCGTATTTGTTTTAAAAAATGATTCACCATCATGCATACATAAAAATCACATTGGTACTTTAAGAAATAGAGAATCCAAACCTTGCTTCAAAAACAAACATGAAAATGAAACTTTAATGGAACACTAAATAAACATACATGAATACATCATAAAGAAACATATATCCTCTCATCGATCTGAAAAAATTATGGGTTTGTATAAAGGTTGGGCATGAAGATATGAATTCAAATCCCGAATTAGGAACTAAAAAAAAATTAGGTTACATGGACTAAAACCAAAAGCGCGCCAATTTATAGGGACGAAAAGAAAATTTAATTCAAAAATATGGGTTTGTGTTCATATTTTCATCCCTAACCATCATATAAACCCTGAACTTTTTCAAGCCGAAAATTATTCTTTGTTTTTCCTTTTCATAAAAATAATTTCTCACACTTTTATCATGACCAAAAACTACCACTGTACAATAAAAATTCACCATCATAGAAGCAACCCAACCTTCATATAAGCAACCAAAAATTAAGGTGCAGATGAAGAACAAACATTGCAAATGAAGGACACTTCAACACTTGTTTATTGTAAACAAAATTCTATTGTTGCTTATAACAACAAACCCAATGATCAAATAGATTTAACTTTAACAACATATCCAACAAGCAAATGGATTCAATCTTAACAACATATCTGAATGAGAAGAAAAAGAAGAATACAATGGTATTGAAGAGAGGAAGAAGAATACAATGGTATTGAAGAGAGGAAGAAGAAAGCAATGATATTTAAGAGAGGAAGAAGAAGTTGAAAAATCAATTTTAAACATCAAGTTTTAAATATATAAATTTCGGTGCATATAATAAACAAGTGTGTTGGTTGGTCTAATGGTTATGTATTACCATGTGAATATTATGGTCATGGGTTCAACTCCTCTTTAAAATTGTTAACCGAGTCAGCATTGCCACACGTTCCCAGAGACTAATGCCAAAACAAAACTAAGTTTATGTTAGAGTCAACCATATTTCTTAACAATAAAATTAATTAAATTTTTACCTTGCCCATAGCCAAAATTGAAACTCTGAAAAAATTCTTGTTCCCTACCTTGAATCTTGTCGAGATGAACAATTAGGCCTCAAACTTTCCTAGATTGGTTTAGGTATCTTTGTCACGCTCTCATCTTTGCAATGTAATCATTTTTAAAAGTATAAATAGTCTATTTTCCTTAACATCAAATTGCATGATATATAAAAAAGTAAAACAATCCTATAAATTTTTAACTATTTCAAATAATAAAGTAAAAATTAAAATATCAAAGTATTAATCATACAATTAAAATTTCAAATTATTAAAACTAAATAATAAAGTACAAACATATATAAACAAATATAAGTAGAACGAGTTCGGGGAGAGTTCAAAGTCGGTATTAATGCCACTCCTTTATCCGACCTGTCCCCATATTTTGTAATCGGGATAATTAAAACTCAACCAAAGTGGATTTACCCCATCAAACTTGGGACGAATTCGGGTGGGTATCTACGAGCATGAGTTATGTTGTCATGCCTAGGATCTTGTGGCGAGAAAGTGCATGGTGATGTAACTAAAAGGGTATAAGGAATGTAAGGCCTATCCCAAAAAAATTAACAAAAGTTTGAGCTTTTTTTTTCACGTTTGTAATGGAGAATAATGTTTGAAAGAGGATTGATGATGATGAATGTTAGAAAGTATGAAGAAAATATGCATGTGAGTTTGATTTTTTTTGTTCGAGAGAGCATTGGATTTGAGATGTTGTTTTGAAGGTTGGGGTGGAGATTCGATAAGAGCAAGAGGATGAGTACTTGTAGTCTTTTAGGTTTGGTTTATAATGAGGAATATTTGTGCAAGATATTATGAGTTTACTGAAAAAGAAGAATTCTAAAAATTTGATATTTTTTTGGTAATCATAGAGGATGAGTTTGCGGTTTATTGCAGCGGTTCGAGGTTTCTGGTGCAGCGGAAAGAAGGTTGACCTGTAAGGTTAGAACTATAACGCTTAAGTTATTAAGAGAATGAAAATTGGAATTTGAATGGGAATGATTGGAATACCTAAAGAGTGGCATATTTTTGTCTTTAAATGAGGGATATGGTTGGTAATCGCATGCGCACGGGATGCGGCCAACTATTGGATTAATCTGGGAGATTGGCATGGTATCCTCATGTTGGATACTCTATGATGTAGATGGAAAAAAGTCTACCTACTATTTTTGTGGAAACTTTTTACTTCGTTATTGGGCTTCCGCTTCTTGGGCTTTGCGGTCGCTCTATAATAGTTGCCCACCAAGCCCTTATATCTAGTTTATAGAGCGAGGATTTGTGACATATGTTGGTACTCAGCTAAGGATCTGCGGATGTGGGTGTCCTAAATGGGACGTTGTCGCTCCGGGGAATGGACGCATTAAGGGTCACACTTAGAAGTTGTATCACAAAGTTGAGAGAAATTGACATGTCTTTACTATTTGGTAGTGACCTTACTTCTTCTTTATTATTCTTGATTGCTTTTGGGTTGTTTTTAAGAATATTTTCACCACTGGCAATGTGTTATTGGTTGCATGGCCTTAATCGCTTGAATAAAGTATAAAGGATTTCGCAAAATATTCTTTTGCCTTTTTATGTGAGTTGTCTGTGAAGAGAGTGTTTTGTTATTCTATTATTGTTTCTTGAGATCAATTTGTTCTACTATTGAATCGAACTCAGAGG